GTACGCTGTCTCCTGACCTCTTTCAAAGAGGGTTCCCGGAGGAGGGCCTCTGCTGCCAATCTTAGGGGGCGGGAGGGCATATAGGGAAGAAGGCTTTCCTTTAGGTATTCTGATCCCAAGCCATTTAGGGCTTTATAGGTAATAGCCAGCACCTGGAATTGAGCCCAGACTTCAATGGGAAGCCAATGGAGCTGATAGAGGACTGGAGTTATGTGAGAATAATGACCAGTCCCTGACAGCATCATGGCAGCTCTATTTTGCACCATCTGAAGTACCTGGACTGTCTTCAAGGGCAGCCCCACGTAGAGCGCGTTACAGTAGTCCAAGCAGGAGGTAACCAGTGCATGTGTCACTGTTGTATCTCTTGACTACAACTGTAAGAAATACATAAAGCAACATTCTCCTACACACTCAATCTGTTCATCACAGGATCGGCCTGAGGTTTTCAACCTGGTGTCCTTCAGATATTTTGAACTCCGGTTTTATCAGCACCAACCATAATGGCTAATGGTCAGGAATGCTGGGAGTTGGAGTCCAAACACATCTGAATGGAACCCAGTTTGGGGAAGTCTAGGTACCTTCCCACATAGGCTTTCAGATTATACCATAACCAACCTGTTTTTAACCTGCAAACTGAAGATCACATAATGCAGAATCATGACTGGCATGAGCCAGGCCACCTCTTATATAACCAACCAGAATGAGTTGGTATATATAAGTCATCATTCCATTTTTACAGTGACTTCTAATCAGATATGGCAGCATTTTCACACACGGTTTCACAGTGATATATATATCAATATTAGTTTTACCTCTGTTTTGTTGTCTCATCTGTGGGGCCCTTTAGATGTTAGGGCAGCAGCTCATTCTGCCTTTAAAGGCTCACTCTGTGTCATGCAGGCAAGCCAATTGCATGGGCCCTTCCCACACTTTTTCAGTTGATTAAGGCCAGAGGCAATGATGGTGGTGAGATGGGGGAATCTATATGATAGGCTCCATTCATGTAGTGCTGCATTTTTAAATGTTGCTGGAGTAGCACAGAATTACCTTTCTCCCCACAGTCACCCCTCACACTAATGCTATAACATCAAGAATAGTTGCTTGCTTCTTCCCCTCTTTCAAATAGTGATGTCTATTTCCTCCTCTTTTGTTCAACTGAGTACAAGCCTATGGAGTATATTCTATTTGAAAAGAAGACTAATGCTACATACATGCTAAAAGCCCAAAAGGATGTGTTTCTAGACCTCATGACTATACATAAAAGGTTTTTGGAGTGGCTGGACAGGCTGGACAATACAGCCATTGCTTCAATACCCTGAACAGGTGAATGCCTCTCTCCATGGTGCTTATTCACCTTCTATGCCAGTCTTTCATTACTCTGTGGCTGATATTCTTCATTCCCACATTGCATTTATATGCTCCAAATTCTGTAAATGCACACTATATTATCATTAGCATATGAGTTACATAAGATATTTTGAGGACAGAATTCAAAATGCAGTATGCACAGAAGTTACTCAGCCCTGTTCGTCCATCAGCATATCATTGGTGGTTCTTTTTGTCTCACAGAACAAGTATCTAGCTTATTGGCTTCAATGGTCAACTAGGTTCTGGCTCAGAAGTCCATTGTTAGTTTGGTTTTCATTCTTTTGGTCTCTGATGTGCTCTGTCAGGCTGGGCTGCACTATGATGATTCATTGATGCATCAGTGTAAGAGGGGCAGTGGTTTTTAAAAATCCTCACAATGTCCTGGAGGTATCTATCTATCCCTTTCTCTGTGGAGATGGCAAGTCTAAGGCTTTGCCTTTTGGGAGCCTCTCACTCATCTTCCACCTGCCCAAGGAGATGGAGAACCTCCTTGCTCATCTCAGTTTGAGCCTAATTTCTGAGACCCTCCTTAACGATTCTCCTTTTGACCTCGCTATGAGTTAACAAGTGACTCAACCATCAGAATCAGCCCTGGGTTAACATCTCCCACCATCACCCAATTGTACTTTTCTCAGGTTGTCTTCCTCTTTGCTTGTGCCTTCTATTCATCTTTTGATTTGTTGAAATAGTGATCGGCACACAAGATCATGGTCCATGAGGAGAAAAACAAGCAAAAGTTACAGAGCTCTTACAACTAGTTCACAAATTACTCTGGACTGCTTTTTCTACCTTTTGAGAGTGACAAAAATGTGAACTTATGACAGATCTCAGTCACAGGAACTTTTGGGATCTCTGATTAACACTGTTTAGTTCTTGGTGAACTACCGCCATCACATCAAGGCTCACATAAATGGTTAATGCCTGCGAGTGGCTGATGGAAATCCACATGTAATATGTGAATTGACTTTAAATCTTTAGGTTATTTCATAACCCTCTTTCTTCATTTATAAGGAGAAATCATGTGAAATTGTCTCTCAGTTGTACAATGTACACACTTGGCCACTGCCAATGGCAATTTAGGATTGTTAAATTACTCCCAAAGGATAAAGGATGTTCTGTAACATTAAAAATCTAAAGCTACTAATCTGATTGGCTTTGATGGGAACCAGGATGCTGGACTAGATGAAGATGATGTCTGGCCAGCAGGGCATTTCTGAAGTTCTAACAAGGCTGCCTGCCTGTTTTTGTACCACACCCAGCTCCTCAAGGCCTGCTTCAGAGCACAGCTGTTGCCAGGAAAGGATGTGGCTCAAACGCAGGTCATTCCTTAGTCAATGAATGGACATGCAGATAAGACTGGTGGGAAGAGCAGCCCTGTCTGCACTGGTTCGTGGAAATGAACAAGTGCCGACACAGCCCAGGAAGCGCATCTGTGCCCATAGACCCTTGAAAACATCCTCTGCATCCCTGTGCTGTTGGATTCTCTGCTGGATTGAGCAATTGCTGGGAATCCCCTGGCTCAGTCTCTGTAGTGATTCATCTGAGTAGTTTTGATTCCTTGCAGACTTGCTGGGATTGGTCAAAGAAGAGCTTGCACTGCGCACTGAATAGCTCCTTACTGCCTGGCAATCATTCAGCATGATAGAGAGATTAAAGTGGGAAAATCCCCTGCATATCATGATCCATGTACCCCTGCTCCTGGGCATCACAACAGGACTGGCTGCCACTGGGATTTTAAGAGCTGTCACACTGTGGTTTCCTTGAAATAAGAAGAATCTGCTAGTAACAGGTAGCATCAGATATCACAGTCTGAAGCCACGATCACCACACAGGGAATGTGTAGCAACGGAACAGCAGGCACAGCAGATTCAAGTTCTTCTATGAAAGTATACTTGCTATACTGAGCCTTGATTCGTCTTCTCCCAGCCCATAGTTTTGGGAGATACCTCCAATGCGTTAGTTGACAAAATCTGTCATGTAATGACAGGGGCTGGAATGGGAGAATGAAAGGATTTCATGGGTCCTTAAACTCAAGAATTATGATGGCTACAGGGATGAAAATCTTGCAAGGGACAGGGAAGCATGCAGACTCCTTGCATGCATAGGAAGTGTACCAAAACTCTGCTCTGATTTTTGAAATTGAGCAGACACTGCTGGCATATTTTCAAGTCCTTTTTCCATGGCCACGACAGCAAAACGTGCTCGTCTTAGAAAAAAAGTTGTGATTATCTGGATGCTGCATGCGATCTCATATTCTGCTGCATAGATAGGGTCACACAAGATGAATGGCATGAAATAACTTTGTAAGTTCCACCCAGAGGGAGTGGAAGCTCCTTGGATTCTAACATGAAGAGAAACAGGCTGGAGCTCTTCTCTCAAAAATTAGATGATGACAAGACCAGTCACTGAAGGGTAAACCTCCTGTACTGAAAATCATCTGGAAACCAGGGAGGAAAGCTGGCATAGGCCCAGGGCTTGTTTACTGGCCTTTATCGTACTCCAAGGTCATTCAGCAATTCTCTCACAAAGTAGCTTCCCCTGTTTTCCTTCTCTGCACTGAGTTGCTCTTCCACCAGGATTAGCAAGGCAATATTCCTAGAATGCACTGTGCTTTCTAGAGGCACTTATGCCATCAATCTTCAACACGGTGCCCTCCACATCTGTTGGACTACAAGGACAGGCTCCAGGACCCTGGGAGTTAATAGTTCAAGACATATTGGAGAGCAACTAGTGGAAAAGTCTCACTTAAGCTTAGAAACCATTCTACATAGATTCAAATAATAGTGAGAAGAGCTAGTTCTTGGCCTGAACCGCTTCAGACTGCAGATAGAAAGGTTGTATTTTTGAATGTTTCTCCATAGGGAAAATAACACTGCATATAGAAAACACAATCATCGGGGTGGGGGGGAAGGTTTACTATAACTCTCTCCTTAAGTTTACTACATGCAAGACATTTTTAGAAAAAACACATAGAGTATTCGAATAGATGACCTTTCCAGCTGTTGCCTGAAGTACAGCCCATTCTGATCTCCCATTCTGTGAAATGTGTAGAATGGCTTGAGAAACAGCTTCCTAGCAACACGTGGGAGGGGACAGCAGAATAACAAACCTCAACTTGTGTCAGAGCATTCACAACACTGTCCTGAAATTCTAGCTAAAAGTCAGCTTGTGGCACTATGTAACCAGCTCTCAGATTGCAGCAGCAGCTAGGAAAAATAAAAGGTGGGTTACAGTCCTGTGTACCAGATGCTATTCCACTGGCCAGACTATTCTGTGTATACCAGATGTCATTTCATTGTAGAAGGACCTTTAATGTGAATCACTTTGGCAATGTCTGTGTTCTCACATGGGGAACAAATTAGAGGGCATGCCTGTTAGCTTTTGGAAAAGTTCTTGTTGATAACTAAGCATCATATTGGCTACTGCAACAGGCAAATAATTGTGCTTTGGTCCTACCTAGCATCACAGTTCTTGCTTCTGGAAACCCCCTGGCCTAGCCTGACTAAAGATATAGGTTCATCAACATCTTCACTAGCCCTGAGGATATCTGTGGAGAACTAACTGTTTATTCCAAGCCTAACATTTGCTATGTAGCTAGAGTGTTTCCTTGTCTTTTTCTCCACCCTCTCCAGGGCAGTGGGCAGCCCATTGGTCATGGATCCCAACAGCATTTGCCGGAAGACCAAGCGGCTGGCTGGGAAACAGGCAGAGCTGTGTCAGACGGAGCCTGAGATTGTACAGGAAGTAGCCAAGGGTGCCAGACTGGGGGTGCGTGAGTGCCAGTATCAATTCCGCTTTCGTCGCTGGAACTGCACCAGCCACAGCAAATATTTTGGCAAGATCCTACAGCAGGGTGAGCCGGGCAGCACTCTCTTGTTGCTTGGGGAGGTATCCCCCCACTTTGGGTTTATCTGAGTGAGCATAGAGGAGAGAGAACCATTTTCCCTAACTTAAGAGATGGCTGATACAAGGAAATCTTCTCAATCAAAGGGTCATCACAACCAGAACAAGAAGAGTAAAGGAGATTATACAAGAAAGGATACCATGGATTGCAGAAATGCCACTGAGCAGAGAGACCTTATTCTCTATGGAGATTAACTTACTCCTTATGAGGTAGGAGGGGAAAAAGAAACTTCCAATTGGAAGAGCTTTGCCATGGCAAATCCTTGGTACATGTTTTGAGCTGGGCTGCAGCATAACACATAACACATAGTTCACAGAGTGAACCCAGCTTTATTTAGTACTCAGGGAATTATAAAATGGAAGTTTTATAAGTATTCCTGAGCTGAAGTTTACCATGAAGACAAGTGGCTTTTTCCTGAACTAAGGCAAGGAATCCTTTCGTAAGTGCTGGTTTACTTAACAATGTAGTGAAATGTCTTAAAAGATGTGAAAAAATGTGCAGTCCATTTGTGTGTGCATTTCAAAATATAAAGATACATATATATTCCCAGGGTTGTCTATAACATACAATGCTATTTTATCCAAACCCTCTCCCTAAATACCCTCTTATGTGACCATTTCAGGGTATAATACTTAAAGCCATACTTTCAAATTAGAATTCTTTGTACTCAGGCTGGAAAGACCTAGGGTCATTTCACACATTATATTACACACACACACACACACACACACACACAGAGAGAGAGAGAGAGAGAGAAAGAGAGAGCGCGCAAACACACTTTTAAGAGAGATATAGCATGAATTCTGCATGTAGATTTTGCATGTGATTGATGACTGCACAAGCATTTTACACTCCATGCCTGGAATCCACATATCTGTACAACTGTTGCATGCAATGATCTAAATGCAGGTTTTGTTTGTTTGTTTTGCATAGAAGCTGTTTGCATATAGGAAATACATATTGCATGAAGAGCCTTTTATATCAGGGATGCAAAAAACATAACCCTTCAGATGGTGGTGGACTGCAACTTCCATCAACCTTAGCTAACATGGAGATGCAGTACAACACGTTCTAGGGGTCACACCTTCCCTATCACTGTTTTATATGCCTAGACACTATAAATGTTTATATTAGATCAAGTCTTGGGAAAGGATTTTTTCTGTTTTTAAGGACTTCAGTTGATTAAGGATGTAATGCTATGCCAGTTTACATTTGTATAGGATTGCACCTGGAATAAAAATGTATTGATCAATTAAAGCAGTTCTTCAAGGTAGATTTAAAGACAAAAACACACTGCAAAAATGCATTTAATTGCTATTATTTACAGAAAACACAGCAGTCTCTTAGAAGCATTCCTCTTTCTTTCACACAAAGGAAGGAATGGCTCTTTTATGATGATGCTTGTTTCAACAGGTGCCTACAGGATCTAAAAGCAAATCAAACAGATTTTCCCTGACAGTTGTGTTCATATGCAAATTTATGGAGATTTACATGATTGATTCATCAGGAAACCAATCAAGACTCATGATTTCTTTAATCTGGTGACAGTCTTCAGAATCAAAAAACAAACAGAATTGCACATTGCTTTTCCTTTGATCTTCTGCATGAAATCAAGGCACAACATGAAAAAAATTGCCTTGTCCTGCTCAGCTCTTCTTTATGTTGTGGCTGGATGCTACAGCCACTATGGCTGGTGGTTAGAGTGTTGGACTAGGACTGGGGACTCCTGGGTTCAAATCCCAGCTCATTGAGGTGCCCATAGGCCAGTCATCATCACTCAGCCTAACCTATGTCCCAGGGTCCTTCTAAGGATAAACATGGGAGGAAGAGGCAAAGATCCATGTACACCACCTGAAAGTCATAGAGGAAAAGGTAGACTATAAATGCAGTATATAAACAAATATAACTGAGACTGTGGAACTGAGAAAATGAAGATTCAAATACCTTTGTGTGGCACGACTGGTACAGTTCCTTAATGTTAGTGCAGATAATGGGAAGGGGGATGTAGCCAGAGAGTAATCTTGCTGGGAGAAGGCTAAGAACAGATGGAAGGATACTGATCATGATGGATGAGCTAGGGATGAAAGGAACCCTTTCTTGACCATGCTTAACAACAGCTTCACTGATTAACCCTCCTTCTGAGAGCTAAAAGAACTGATATACCTTCCTAAGGCTTTTGCTTTGTTCTCCCCTATAAGGCAGGAGGGTAATATTGCATCAGAGAGTGTGATGTATTGGAATGGCTAGGTTCTTGGGGAGGCACAGGTTATTGCTACAGGCCGAATGTTTACTGCTGCGACATGTCTCTGTCCTTGTAATGAAGCAATTATGGATGCTCCCAGACAACACAGCAGCTTTTAATAAAGCCCAAGAATGTATCCATGTCTGGGAGTGATTTACTGCCCCCTCCCCAGAGACTGTGCTCCTACATGTCCGTGTAGCCTCCTTCAGGCTTCCCAGCAACTGAGTAGGGCCGAGCGATAAATAACACACACCTCAGGGAGCCCCTTTGCCTTAACATTATATGATGCCTTCTCCCTTCTAGAAGGGGGCAGGCAAGTCAGAATTGCAGGGAAGTCTACACCCCTACCTGCACTGCTAGCGCCAGCAATGGGCTAACTGTGAGTACAGCTCAGGTTGCCAGGCTTTTAAAGGTCAAATTTTCACACACAGAAAAATAGCCCTTTCTTGTCTGACTGGAATGTCTCTGTTCATGTTGGATCACAAACTAGAAGAGGCCAATATTACAGCATCTACCAATATTCGGCATGCACACATGAATAGTTGGTGACAGTTCCACTGAGGTCACATGATTTCTAAAATAATAAAACGGCAACAAGTCTGGTTGTATTTCCCAGTCGATGTGTGACCAAAATGCCTCTGGAGAACATGTACAGAGGGCAAGGCAGGTAGAAGAAGGGAAGGTTCTCTCCCTCAACAGGCATCTCATCAGTAACAGCAATCCTGAGAGGAATGAGACCTGGCAACCACTGCATGGTATATACCAGCCTTCCCCAGTCAGTTGCCTTCCAGATGTTTCAGATAATTGGCCATGTTAGCTAGGGTTGGTTTGGAGGGCAGCCAGGCTGGGGAAGGCTGATGTATACTGTTTTATTCTGGACCATTAATAGTTGAGAGTCAGTGTGGTTAAGAGCATAGGACTGGGAGTCAGGAGATCTGGGTTCCAGTCCCCACTCATTCATGAACCTAACTGGGTGACTCTGGGCCAGTCAAAGCTTCTCAGCCCAACTTACCTTATCTATACATCAAGCCATCATGTCAAGTCACCTTTGCTAAGCTGGAAAGGTGTGGGCCTGCAGCTGACTGGGTAACCACATATGGAAGCAGAACAGGGAATTTGACTCAATGGCTTTAGAGGCCCCTTCCAACTCTACCACTACATTCTATTCTATTGTATTCTACCTCACAGGGTTGTTGTGAGGATAAGGGTGAGAGGAAGAGAATTGTGTAAGCCATCTTGAGTTCCTTGAAATGAAAAGAGGTGGGATAGATAAATAATGAAAGGACAAATGCATGTTTGCATGGGCATGCAAACAGGCTAGCAGTGGCAAAGGGGGCAGGCATGGGTGGAAACTGTTGTGTACTGGGAGGAGGGAAGCTGGAGATACAAAGAATGCCTGTTCAGGCCTATCTCTAGGAATTCTGGTGGCCTGGGCAGGGTGGTATCTTGGCACCCCACTAGATGTGTTTTCAACACTACCTTTATCCTCTCCCCATGTCCCTTGGCTGTGTTCCTCCTCTCTTCCCTGTAACTTCAATCTGACTGCTTTTTCTCTAGTTGCCACCATCCTCCTCACTCTTCCCATCACCTGCTTCCTTCTATATTGCCTTCACTCCTTAAAGAGAGGCATTTTGGATGAGGTGACCCTGGGGACTGCCTGCGTGCAACTGAACTTCATAGCCAGCTCGCCTCGCTTAATGGAACGATCACTGCCTTTGTGGCTCTCTTGCTGAGAGTTCCCAAAGAGAGAGGTTGGGCGGGCATGTAGCTCTCTAGGTGACCCGATGGGTGAGCAACCCCAGAGCGCTGCTGTCTCTTCTCGAGGGGGCATCCTTTTGGCGTCCTTAGATTTGGCACCCAAGGCAGTTGCTGGTTGCTCCACCTCCCTGGGCCCCAAGAACACCGTTTGCCAAACGATACTAAGGGCGAGATTGCAGTGCAGCAACTAGGAGCGCCTGCCGCGTTGGAAAGGAAGAACTTGTAAGCTTTACCCAGCTGTCTTGCTCTGGGATCAACCCGGCAGTAGCGGACTGCAAGAGTGCGGCTGCTGGCAAACTTAGGAAGAAAAGGAGGGCGGGCGGGAGAGACGGATCCCCCGGCGGGTGTGGCGCCTGGTGCCGGAGCAAGCAGCGAGAGAGGGAGAGGAGAATCCCCCCTGGCTGTGGCAGGTCCCGGCATGGCGAGGGATGCCTGGAACTCGTGTCCCGCGGCGGAGGGGCGACTGGCGTCCCGCCGTAATAAGAATCCAGGTTATGGAGAGGGGCGTCGTTTCTCCAACCTGGCGTTGTCTTTCTGCTTGCTGCTGGGTTTACTACCTCCTAACCCCGGCAGCAGTCGGGTGATAACGGCGTTGTGGGTTCCTCGACAAGTTGCGTGTTTCCAACAGTGCGGCGCAGCGGCCTGCCGCTCATTCCCCGGGGATCTGAGCAGAAGTTCCCGCGCGCTGGATCGTGCAAGGCAGAGGCTCTGCCCGGCTTCTCCCACTCGCTGCCATTTTATCGGCCTCCCAAGTTTGTCGTGTGAAGTTATCTGCCTTAATGTGATGCCTGGTTTTAACAACCCTCCTACCGAACTGATCACTCATCAAACGCCACAGTCACTATTTCCTACCTCGTGTCGTCAGCCAGCCCAGGGCGCTCAGTGGAGTTTAAGTTTTAATATCGCCTTTGCGCACTTCGATCTGATGCATACTAACCTTGGAACGAGGATCTGCTTTTTTCAGCAGGCCTTATTCCCAAGGGTGGGTAAAGTGGCAACCCCATCGGACTCCTACCATGAGCCAAGCTTCAAATCAATGCTGGAGGGTGGGACCACTCTGATCAGTTCACGGCTAGGTGGAGAGGGTGGTTAAGAATTTTAAAAATGCATTTATATGCTACCTTTTTCTTCAAAGGAATATAAGGTGATCCTCTTCACCATTTTATCCTCACAACAACAGTGTAAAGTGGACTATTCTAAGTGTGAGTGAGCTACATGGGTAAATGGGGGGACTTGATCTTCCAAGCTCCTGTCTAACACCCTAACCACGCCACCATGCTGGGGGTACTGAACTGGTTTCTGCACACCAGGCCAACTTATAAATAAGACTGCTTTTTAAACAGGCAGGAAATTTATAACAACCTAGGACCTGGCAAAATTGGAACAGGTGCACTGCACCTAGTAATGCTGTAGGGCACAGGAGTAGAATCTCAGGCCAGGAGGTGCACCAAACCTACCCTCCAGGGTTTCCCAGATAACCACCTTCCCCATGTCACCTCTTGGTTCCCCCTCACCTCTCTCTCATTTGGTGGTTTCCCTGCTTTTGCGTTTTTCCTCCATTGAAGTGCCTCTCTAAATTCTTAGTTACTGGCAGCAAGAACTTTAAGCTAAAATATGCTGGTACTTGAGCATTTTGGCCCTGTTCCTTTTCCCTATGCTCCTGCCCCCCCACCCCCAACTGGAATGTGGCTCCTGAGAGCTAGTCCAAACTGAATGTGGCCCTCCATTAAAAGCAGGGAGAACTTCAGCAGATGAATTTCAGCTGGTCATGCATTTTTAGAGAGCTAATCCCAGGCCTTGGCATGGCCCACCCATATCCCTTGTCAAACTTTACCTTGGATGCTTTTAACTCTGACTCAGTCTGACGTGCTCTCTCTCACTCTCTCAATATCACACAGATATCCGGGAGACAGCCTTTGTCTATGCCATCACGGCAGCTGGAGTGAGCCATGCAGTTACCCAGGCCTGCAGCATGGGAGAGCTGTTGCAGTGCGGATGTGAGGCAACTCGGAGTCGGACACCTCCCCTGCCCTCTGCCATTACAGGATCAGAGAGTTCTGCCTGGGAATGGGGCGGCTGTGGGGATGATGTTGATTTTGGCTATGAGAAATCCCGCCAGTTCATGGATGCTAAGCGCAGGCGTGGCAAGAGCGATATTCGAGCCCTTATCGACCTGCACAACAATGAAGCAGGACGCCTGGTAAGGGCACCCTCCTCTCCTTTTCATGGCATACTTGGAATCCTTTCTGCAGGGGTGATGCTGTCTCCTTGTGGGTGATCCATGCACATTTCTTTGGCTTGCCTGCACATGGCCTACTTACATCTTCACTACCCACCACATTCGCTTCACTGACAACAGTGGGAGGGCTGCGCAATCACTGCATTCCAGTGCAGTTTAAGCCATGGTAGGTTGTGGCATGTGCAGGAGGCCATTTTGAGCATTCAGTCCCTCAGTGGGGAATTGCTATGGTTTGTTGTGTCATTTAAGCCTAGGCAATTAGGGGTGTGTTTAAGGGTTACACAACCCACAAATTAACCTAAAACAAGCTATTTGAAATTTGTCTAACTCTGAAACAACCTCCCCCCTTGCTGCTTTGGTTTGTTTGACAAGCAACAACAAGCTAGGATCCACAGGCCCTGACAGGACACAATAGTACCCATAGGGGCAAATAAAGTTATGGTGGGCTACTATGTTGTGAAAATCTGGTTATGTCTGATTTCCAGATGACTTCCTCAGTTCCAGATCACCTCCCTAGCCCCCCACCTGGAATCCTGGTCGCTAACTTACCTCTAGAGTTGAACACCTTTGCAACTGCAGGTGTCTATGTTCAGATCCATAAGGAAAAGGGCAGCATATGTAGTATTGACACTGTATCTCATGCTCCCCTGTGCTTCATTTTGCTTGCATCCCCATTGCTGCCGCTGCTGACACAGTTTGTGCTAGTCCAGTGTATGCACACCCATGCATTTTTAAAAGGCCAGTATCCCACATATAAGCCGATGGATAGTTGACTCTTCCTTCAGTGAGTGCAGCAAGCATGTGGCATTCACAGCTGCATCCTCCAATACCTTGCCACTGCTTTCTTCACTGTAGCATCTGCCATCTGAGGTGGCGATCTCATTCTGCCTAATGGCAAGGGTGACCTTAATCCTGACCCTACCTCACTAGGCCTCATCTCCAGGATACAGCCAGACAGATCCCCTGACCCAAAACCATGCCTGCATGCTGTGGAATAACTGGGGGCACACAATTTGGGAAGTGGAGGGACACTTTCCTGCCAGAGCTTTCCTACCCAGCTACACAATGACATTCCAAACATGGAAATGCCAGCTGATTTCCAAGAGAATTCAGTCCACCCTCACTCCAAATTGCCAGATAACCTCTGCTCTCACCCTGTAACCCCTGCCTACAGCTGTAATTCCTCATCTTTATTTGGCCATCCTTTTTAATGACTCAAAAATGCTGGAGGAGTATGAAGCATTGTTCCCAGCCCCCACTTTTATAGATCAAGCTCTTCGTCTTTTTTCTTTCCTTTTATCTACTTCTAACTTCATTATTCACCTTTAGATGTCCCATAACCAAATAATCTTTTCTTTATAAGCTAGTTACCTTTTTCAGCTGGCCTGCATTGCCTGCCACCTGAATTCCCCTCAGATTTTCAAAGATCATCTCCCTCCAGTGTCTGTCTGTCCTGGATCACCACCAAAAGCATTTAGTTGGCAGGACAAGGAGATTCCATGATCTCCAGCAGAACCATCACTTCAATTTCATCAATAGATAACAGAGTAGATGAGTCAATGGAAGCCAAAGCCCCAAACTTCTGGGAAAGGCTGCTCTAGTCCCGAATTGTATTGCTTTATTGCATACTGACACATTTGTGAGTTATAAGGGCAATACATTAACGGCAAGTTCAGTCCAGAAGATTTTAACCTAACCTTGTTGTTATTTCATTACATTAATACCCCAGCTTTCTTCTTCCTATAAGGAACACAAGGTGGCTTACTAGCCCCTGTGTGAGGTAGGCTAGGCTGAGAGTGAGTGACTGGCCCAAAGTCACCCAGTGAGCTTCATTGCCAAGTGGGGACTAGAACTTAGGCTTAGGCAAATGGGGCGGCATACAAGTCTGCTAAATAAATAAATAAATAATAAATAAACCTGGATCGCCGGGGCCCCAGTCAAACACCACACCAGACTAACTGTCTGCTTTCAGGAAACTCATTTCCCCTTCAGTCTTCCAAGCTCCTAAAGAACTATTATCAATTCCTGTGTGTTGCATATATGGAAACTTGATGGGGCGATGCCGGCCAAATCATATGAGATGCCATCAGATTATTCTGGCCCTCAGGACCAGTGTCTGGGAAATACAGTAATCCCCAAGAATAATGAAGTCTGGCCCCCACCCCCACCCCCCACCCCCCACATGGATATGGGAATATCACCTTCAGAAACCAGATGATCAAGGAGATCTCCTTATGTCATAGAAATCATGCCCTCCATCATATAATATGAGAACCAGTGTGGCACCAAAGTTTGGCTGTGAGTGTAATAATAATAAATAAAGCACCCCTTTTGTTTTCCTGAACACACATGAGGTAGTGATGCAGTAATGGCTACGTTAAAATATTAATAGAAAATCACTGCTGGTGTTCCTAACAAATGGAACTGAGGATTTTTTTTAATGAGGATAGATTAAAATTTGGCAGGGCCAACCTAAAATTGCTCTAGCAGCTAGAGCTGGCCTGCAGGGCTGCCAGTTGGCCATCCTGCCCTTGGGCAATGATTGCCATATATCTTACCAGGGAACCCATTGGAACACGTTTCTTTAGGAAACTCCTTAGCCTTTGGGATGTATTGTGTCCCAACCGCTATAGCTATAAGCAGCAGTGACCCCAAGAGCATCTTGTCACATTTTGAGGCATCCAAACTCTCCTTAAGGCTCAGAATGAGTTTCATGTCATTCCAGTCTTACTTCCAATCTAGGGCTATGATGGACACTGGGACTGTTGTTGTTGTTTTTGCTAGTCTCATCATTGCAGGATATTGTTGCGAAATATGGTTGCCTTCAATAATCATTTCCCCCTTTTTAGGCAGTGAAGAATCACATGCGGACAGAGTGTAAGTGTCATGGGCTTTCCGGTTCCTGCGCCCTACGAACCTGCTGGAAGAAGATGCCCCCTTTCCGGGAGGTGGGTGACCGCCTACTTGAACGCTTTAACGGGGCTTTTAAAGTGATGGGTGGCAACGATGGCAAAACACTCATCCCTGTGGGCCGGAACATCAAGCCACCAGACCGGCAGGACCTCATCTACTCTGCGGACTCACCCGATTTCTGTGTTGCTAACCGCAAGACAGGTTCTCTGGGCACACGTGGGCGAGTGTGCAACAGCACTGCCATGGACGTGAGTGGCTGTGACCTGTTGTGCTGTGGACGTGGCCACCGGGATGAGACTCTACTCTTGGAAGAGAACTGCCTCTGCCGCTTTCATTGGTGCTGTGTGGTACAGTGCCGGAAGTGCACAGTGCGCAAAGAGCTCAGCCTCTGCATCTGAGTGGGTGCAGAAAGGACACTGGACAGGGAAGGAATAAAGCACGAGGATGAGGAATGTACCCAGCCCATCACACAGTCCACCGACAGGGAGCATAATGGAGCTCTTACGGATATGAGGGGCAAAACTTTGATGTAACGTGGAGTCACAGAATAGCTTGCCAGGATTCCAGGAACAATCTCAAAACTGGGCCACCGCAGATCCTCAGAACATGAATGGTTTCCAAATCTTTGGTGTCCCACACAGTTCTCAGCACTTGGTTGTAACCTCCTCTTTGGCAGGTTTTTTATGTCCAGTGCCAAGCCATGGCTTCAGATAGCCTCCCCACTCCTTCCCTGCCTGGACATGCACTCCCAAATACAGGGGGTGGGAGGTGGGGGAATCAGTCCCGGGTCACCTGATACTCTCCTATCACCAGCTCCAGTAAGTTGTAAGCTGGATCTCTGAGCATGGGTCATCACAGGTTCTCTGGAGGGATGAGCTGTGGATCATTTATTAGGGAATCTTTACTGTGTTTGGAGACAACAGCAGAGGTGTCTTCACAACTTGTTCCCGTGGCTTCCTTGCTCCCGTCTAGCTGAGTCTGCCATTTCTTTCTACCTTAATAAAGTTATTTAAGCTACCAGCTCTTTTTATCCAGTGTTGCCGCAGGAAGTGTTCACAAGTGCCTTTAATGTAGATTAGTAACACAATTGCTCACTTTAACTATACTCTTGTTGTTCCAAGCAGAATGAATACAAAGGTATAAAGGTGGGCTTTCCCCAGCATGAATGTATCTCCATTGATGATCTTGGAAGCATGTTTTAAAGTGTGGAGAAATGATCCTAATCTGGAAAGATGGTCACTACTGCAGATGAATCTAGAATAAATGAACACTTCTGTGGAGTTGGAGAAGCGAAGTTGAACAGGATGTATTTGGTATGAAGAATGCCTAGATAAGATTTGAATCAATCCTTCTTTATATTTATAACACACTTTCACTTTAAGTTAGGCAAGATTGCTTCCTAAGGCTTCATATTCATGTTGGAGAAATCCACAATGGATTCAATTGAGTTTGGATATCAGTGACTACAGCCTGTGGATTTTGCAGTAGATGAGCTTTTTCCAGTCATGCCAGGCTTGCAGACTGGTTTTTCATTTGCAGGAGTGGGGTGGGGATTTGTACTAATGAATTAGTACATTAGCACAAGTACACATTACTGCTAATGCAAATTAGCAGAAGTAGAATGACATTCTGGTAACAAAATTCCAGTTCTGCTGATGAGCAGACAATGGAAGAAAAGACACCTGATAATCTGTGAAACACAGAACAGATTTAACAAAATCTGTACCTCCGGTTTCTTATTGATGGCTATTTGAAGAACTTTGACCACCAGAGGGCAGCAGGGGCTTAAGGTAATGTATGTGGTTGAACGAAATAAACAAAATGGATTGTGTGGCATTGCTATTGTGGTGAATTTCCAGGTGTGTGAGCCTTAGCCTTCCATCGTAGATGAATCGGACACAGTGTTGTACTTTGTTCTTAAGAGCAAAGACCACTACATAGCTTTCTGCATCACAACCTCTAACAAGAGAGCCCCAGATACAATGTCATACACTTCTCTTTACTAGAAACTAGCAAAGGCTACAAGTCATAGTAGCTTGTTTTTGATGATATGAAAAGTGGGATTATGGTTGTTCTTCGATGCTGGATTTAAAATATACTAGCCAAAGACCTGTCAGTGTGAGAAAATATATTTTGCTATCCTCCTTCACACTTTTGTAATCTCTACCTCTGAGGCTATTTTCTGTGCTTTGATGCTGATCTGCTCCAACATAGCAGCTTCCGCATAGCCTTAACGGCATGATCCTGCCTAATCCTGGAAGCTAAGCAGGGTCGGGTCTGGTTGAAAGCTGGATGTGTGACTTAAACGTCGCTAACCATCCAGAGAGCTTTTGCTACAGGTGGTATGGAAATGTAATGTAATGATAATGATAACGAGAAGAAGCACATCCTATCATACAGATGGGTCATGTCCTTGCAGCTGTCCTGAATGTAACCATTGTAGCCTGGGGGAGGAAGCTGTGAAGACCTCCGAATCTTAGAGTACTTCTAGGATTTTATTGTGTCATCAGACTTTTACAGAAGGTCTAGACATCTTCTTCCACTTTTAACTTGTTTTTCTCAACCATTATGTCTGTTTTCTTACCATGGAAACTCTGTTGAGGAGGAAAAGATGGAGTGGTTACATGGGGCTTCTAATTGCTAGTGCCATCCATCTGGAAACACCCTGAATCCCAAGGCTATGCAATTGATGTCAATACAACATGGCTCTTCAAAGAACATCTTGTCAGTGGTTATTGGTAGTTCAGCAGCCTCTGAGCCAGAGCCTTGAGATGAAAACAGATAACACATTGTTAACTGGAAAAAGATAAATATTTTAAACTTTGTTGTATGCTGGCCTGGGTGACAGCTTATAATTTACTTTTTAAGGGTGATCCCAAAGGAAGAAGTCATAGCATTTCATGGCTACTAATTTGTTGATGAGAGATTCACAATCACACAAGCATATCTGTGCAATTTTTTTGCATATGAATGCTTGCATGGATATGGGCACATGGAGACCTGTACTTTGTCTCTGTTGCTCCACTGCCTTCCCCCATGCTACAACTAGGCTTTATGGAGGGGATAGCTCAGTGTGCCATGGCAAGGACAGGAACATCTGATTCCCCCAAAGTGGAGCCATGTGTCAGCCTCACCACAACACAGGCAGATAATGAGAGGCTTCTCCCAGCATGAAAGGAGAAGCAGAGGGGGTTCCTCTGGGCCTTGTTGCCCCAGGCATCACTGGAGGGGTCACTGCAGGTCATACTGCTAGAACTTCCCTGCCATCATCACCCGTCTTCTTCGGTTGTGGCTTTCAGACGGAACAGGATGGTGAACACAGAAACAGGAGTCACGTGTTTTTGTTGTGGTGGGGAAGACCTCAGGCATCTCTCTGTCTACATCGATAGGCCCACCTGCTTGAAGGCTGCAGCTGCGAGACGGAAAGACTTGCTATGCCAGTGCCAATCAAGTCTGGGGACAGCAGCAGTCTATTGGAGTCTGTCATGATATTCCTTGCACCTTGCATGCAGTTTTTAAAAACGTATTTGGAAGTTAGCTCTTACCTGGCAACGCAAGCCCACTGCAGGAAGAAGCACTAGAAAGAAAGCACTGATGTGGCTGTGAAAGCAAAGAGCTCATCTGGTGCTTTCTACAAGCCAGTCCCCTCATCCAGGCCCACATCTCTGCCCTTTTGCCCATATGGGCAAGCTAGCTTGACAATTGCTAGCTTGACAATTACAGCACCTCCATCTTATATGCAGGCAGAGATAACATGAGCAACAGGGTTAATCTAGTCATCCACCACCTAAACAGGGTCTTTTTTTCTCTTGCCAGGAGCCCAGGGTAGCTGATTCATGCGGGGTTGTTTCCATTAGTTTGCCAGTAGAACAGCTCATAGGCAGATCCAATTCTCCACTCTCCCACCACAGACCACTACTCTGGAAGGTTGCAAGACCCTCTGGAACAGATTTATGGGGCTACAAAGGAGAGGAGGGAATCTCCTGTTGCACAGTAACATTGGATTTAGCTCATGTTCTTTATATGCTGACTTCTCAATAAATTGTCCAAACCTATTGTGCAAGTTATTACTCACAGGAGAGAAGTTGGGCAATCATCAATACTGTCAGCGAGATATTGCATTTCAGAGTGTTTGAAGTATCTGAAATACTTAGTAATTTAATCATTCTTACAATTCTATAAAGTTGATCACTAGGTATTCCCCACACCCTGATTGCTGATTGGAAACGGGGGCTGAAAGCGGCTTTCCTAAGACCACCTTGTGGTGGAGGCAAGACTGAATCAGGGGCCAGATCAATTATATTACATCAGTTCTTTACTGAGTGGGTTTTGGAGATCAGCTGTTTCCTTTCTTAAGTAGATACCTTTTCAAATTGTAACTTGATGTGCCATGCTCAATGGTGAGTGAAGTTTAAATGACACAGTGGTGGAGATGAACAGAGACAAGCCAAGTACTGACTCCCAACCTTTCCTTCACCACACACCTCTCTTTTCTCCACCCATTTCTACTCTCTAACCATATCACCTGCCCGATTACTCCCACTACCCTCACAGAAAATTCTTCTGTCTGAAGTGAAGCCCAACTGGTGCTCTTGTTCCCAGTAGTCCCAAACCTTTAAAAAGTCTTGCTTTTCTCCCCTCACTACCTCAACTACAGATGTCTCAGACTTTTGTTCCAATTTGCAAATTGTACAAACGTTGCATTCTCAAACTCGAATGCAAACACAAGCACAATTCTGGGAAATTATCTATTTCCTGAACAGCATTTGCATTAAGAAGTGCACGCTTCTGCAAATCCCCCAAAACCGCATTTCATGCTTTAGGTTATACGATAAAATGTACATTTATTTCCTGAGAAAAACACGTATTTCTCCTGATTGGGGGAAAAAAAAGACATATTCAGGAAGAGAGATGAGGCAAAATCCTTCTCCTTGTTCCAGTCGCAGGATTCTTCTTGCATTTCCCATCATCAGCTAAAGCTATGCATCTCATGGTTGCAGGAGGGTTATCTGTCTTCTGAAGCTGGTGATATCAGTAATGCAGTTAATTTTAGGCTCTGGAACTAATGCTCTTAAAGGGCTGAGGATGCTCTTTAGATGATAACATATTACTTTATTTTCTTCAAAATGTGCTAAGCATCCTGTTGCATTTCCAGGTGCTGCTGCTCAATTTGCTAAGTGGGATTCTGGTCGTCTCCCCCATGGGACCACTGGGTGGTGTGACACTGAGAATATGGTCAAAGATTACCTGTTTTTGTTTTGTCCCACCTTGAGTACAAGTCTGTACAAACTACTATACAGTATAAAACCATATTAATATCAATGGTAAAAATACAACAATAATAAACCAGATTATCAGATTAGTATAATTGGTCACCATGATCGTTCTCAGTGTTAAT